AAGAGTTGGCGGTGGGTGGTGATGACTAGCTGCCTTCCCTCTGGTCTTACACTGCTAAATTAGGGACGGCTAGCGCAGATAGCCCTCGTGTAGCTTTGCGCGAAATTAAAAAACAAACAAACAGAATCATATATATATCTATTACTTACTTCTCTGATAAAAACAAAGATCAAATTACAGTGTTGTAAGATAAAAAAAAGCTTCATAGGAAAGTTTAAAAGAATGTAAGAAGACATAAATTTCAATAATTTAAATCTACAACAAAGTTACAATTGTCAATTTTTTCTTAAAAACACATCACGATGAAATACTATCGAAATTTCAAAGCTGCGAATTCATAAAATGTCACATATAAATATAAAATATTTAATTTACAGAAACTACATAACTTGTAGAAAATTCTTTTGAAGATTCAAACTATTTCATCCAGAAGTTTATTTTCGCAATTTATCAAAGCAAATAATACAACAAATACGTCGAATCGACGTACCCGAGTCTCATACAGACAGTTAAGTCATAATAAGAACATTATAGAGAATCGTCATATACTTCACCTCCCAGTGGCTCAGCGGTATGTCTGAAAATTTATAAAGCTAAAAACTGGGTTTCAATATCTGTGGTGTGCACAGCACAGACAGCCTTATGCTTTATACTTAACATTAAACAAACATATTAGACTTAAAATCCGAGTCAAAATACAGCGTTTTAATTAATTTTATTTAAAGGCTAGCTCATATTCCTTAGAACTGTTGCATAAACTGTATAATAACTGACACAATGATTAAACAAAGTCTGCGGGTTTTGAAACACGTGTAGACCCCCACAGATGATTAAACTGTTGTAATGTACCCAAGTTTTCTACTAACTACATATAACAGTTCATCCTAATTTACATTTGATCATATCAAATAAGCTATTTCTTTCTTTCTTAGTTACACATTTGAGACAGTAAGTAATCACATCCTATAGAATATGTGAAATTGTTTTAGCATATAGTTACACAATCGGCTAACTGCGTTGTAAGTCACGAAATTTACCGCTGACCCACGGAGAGTCACACATGAAGTGTATGTACTCAACGACTATAGTTTGTACAAAATAATTAGTCCTTGTAGCTTTCTATTCCAAACAACAAACCACTCCATATTACAGGAAAGCAGAGAAAGATGGTATTAACACCTGCAGTAGAAAGGTGGTGTTAACACCTGCTGTAGAAAGGCGGTGTTAACAATTGCAGTAGAAAGGTGGTACTAACAGCTGCAGCTGTATGAAAATAGATCCACTTTGTTGAAATTAATATCATTAAAGGACTATTTGTACCGAGAAACAGCAAGGATTTCAACGTAACCCTTTTATTAACGACAATGACATCTGATGACCGATTTACTAGTTTACTCATTCAGTTCGTGAACCACATTTAGGGTAGGCACATCTGACAACTGTTTTACTAATGTATTCCCTCACTCTGTATTTCGTATTTAGGAAAATCATATTGTACGACTGTTTTTA